AAAAAATAAACAATTTAGATTTTCAGTACAAATCGGCAATTTCATACCCCTATTATTAAGTTTTTGTAAATGAGATGCTGATAAGCAATGACGTATTATCTCACAAAACCTTGAAAATTGAGATATTAATGCCTACTTGTAGGATGTCATTTCGTCAACATTTTACAAGTAACATAAACTAAGTGATTTGAAACCTTCAAATAATTGAAAATGGTAAAAACTTTTGACATAAATCCAATAACTACAATTATGAAAAAAAAAATATCTTTAGGTGCCATTTTCTCAAAACTGTGAACATGTTGGTTGACACGTTATTTCTTGTCAGCATTCAATTAGATTGTGCCATTATTTGAGTGGATTTCACTTTTTTATTTCACTATAACTACTTTTATTAAATGTACAATAAATATTACAAAGTTACCAAAGACACCAATTTGGGAATGGCAAGATGTGCTGCATGATATGAAATTAAGAAGAGAAGAACGTACCAAACGGAAATTTAACAGACAAGACTTTATTTATTTACACTCTACGTCTGTCTGTTTGTTTGTCCTGTGCGAAAAACTTTTCTGGCGTGTACGATTCCCTTGTCACAGCTAATATATAAAAACTTACATATAACCAAGAGAGCACAACAACGCAAACAAGATTTTCTGTTCTTCCGAGAGTCAATTAAGCTGGTTCTGCGTGAGGCTTCTAATAAAGTAATTCAGCTAATGGCAAAGATGGTTTGTTAAGCTTTGATCATAAACCTAACCTTGCAATGAAAACGATGTGTAGCATCTTAGTTGAATATTCTATATAGTGTTTGTTATTGATAACAATTTACACTTATTGTGTAGTGTGTGTTCCACCCACGGACCACATAAATTTATTTTCTTTCTTCCGTGGTTCCACCAGAAGCGTTAATAGTCGGAGCGTTTGTTTCGCCTTTTAAAATGCGTGTTGACGTACGTACACAGGTATTCTCACAGAACAATACATGCAATAGAACTGCTTAGCGGGCGTGTCACGTGTGCCAGACAATAGTACGCGGAGTTCCGCATACTTGAGTTTAGTCCGCCATTTTCGTTTTATGTTATGGTTATGTCAATTCAACGCAAAATCTCGAAAATCGTGGAAAAATGTCATATTTTTCTACTTTGTCGAACCTGCAATATTGTCTGTGGTGGTGTTTCATATAATCGTTAAGTTTATTGTGTTTAATTTTAATAAATTTTCAATTTTCTGTTTATCGTTAATACATTTTTTGTTATTACAAATGAAAGTAAACCAACCAAAAAAAAAATATATATATAAATTTAAATTAGAAACTACGACCAATCATTGTCAAGATTTCACAATGCTTCACACTATGGTAGTGTGAGTTTTGGCGACAGCGGTTCGGATAGAAATTGGGACTTAAGGTCTTTCCTTTGTTTTTTCTATGGGTTTTCCCTACGTCCTTTTTCTGAGAGTCCTATGTCCTCTGGCAGAGTAATGGTGGTTGTAACGGTGTGTTTACACCGAGTGGGCTGCTTCGCCTTCGGCAAACAAATTCTCCGCAGTTGACGCGCTGTTTACACCCAGGCGACTGCCGATGTCGTTTTCGCCGAAACCACTAAGTCAGAGAAAGAACAAATTGTTCGAAATGTTAAAGAAACTGACCGGGTTGGTAGGTATTCCTCGATTCGGCAGCACAAGTATTTTTTTTATACTATCAAGTGACGGGACGATCGAGTCGTGCACCTGATGGTAAGCTACACGCCTGTCCACAACAGTTGCAGTGCCACATGGAGCTTTAAATCGCAAAGATCTGAGGGGCACTGCCACTGTGCCTGTCACCCTGAGACATAAATTGACAAGTCCCATGTGCCTGTGGTTTCATCAGCACCCTTATCCTTCCAAACCGGAACGCAGTAATGCTCACATTACTGCTTCGCGGTAGAAATAGGTGCAAGGTGGCAGTACTTCCCAGGACGAACTCTTTCACAAGGAGCTCTACCGCTACTGCTAATTGTGGTGGATTACGGCCGCCAACATATTGAAACTTGTTTGGTCGAACTTCGCTTGCCGAAGGGGGTCGAGTCGTCTAACAGTGATTACCTACACTCGTTCGACTACTGCTCATTCGACTTCGGCAGCGAACTACGGTCGTCAAACGACTCAGTGTTTACACTGGGTAGATTGCCGCCTTCGGCGAGCCGATTTGAAGAAGTTTTGTTAAGAATTAAAATGTAAGTCCCATTGTGGTAATGCAAATTCATATATTTTCTAAAACAAAAACAGTTTATACATGGAATAAATTTGCCTCTTACACAAATATAAATATCTCTATGAGAATAATGATTTACGAAAACAGTAATGATGTTTGTATTTATGTTTATTTGCTGCGTAGTGGATTATCTTTAGATCCATTAAGCATAATTAGATTTGCTCATTCACCCGTAATTATTGTCGCAGGGTAGTCAATCTCGTTGCTCAATAGGATTATGGGTGATGTATGTAGTTTTAGTTTTGATATACTTAATCATTCTGCGAGGGGGTTCCAATTGTTAATTCGAGATTAGTTACAGGAAACGAATGGCATAACTTTTTTCAGGTAAAGGACGTCGTAACGACGCAATATTAATTCCGAGTAAATTAATTGTTTAAAAATTTCTTACGTGTAATATAAAAATAAAATCACAACAACACAGTTCTAAGAATACCCCTTGTAACCCCATACACAACCAAGTTATATTACCAGCACTAGGAGAGGAAAAATTCCTGCTATAAAATCAGATAATGTAGCAGGAATGTATGTTCCCCTTACAAAACTTATATGGCGGACCGGTAATGTGCGAGGAAAAAAACTACTACATAACCTAGTTATGTATGAGTAATGTTGTTTTACAAACTTTCTTTACTTAACTAGCTTTACAAACACAAAAATGGCCGAATGCATCCAAGGTGCAAGGCAATGCAGCCACTCATCTTACATACCAAATTACATTTAATTTAGTGAAATAGGTTTCAAACTAGAATGGTTCTGGTGATTAGTGTAGATAATTGAAAAGAGTACAAAATAAAACATAATTTCTAAAGTATTGATTTTTACCAAACTAATGTTTAATTTAAACGAGTCATTATGACATTCTTTACACAAAAAAAAATATTTTTCTCTCTCAGCTTTTATAATACAAATTGAGTAAGAAACGATGCGTAAATTACATTACCAAGAACAAAAACAAACTCGCGGTATAGGAGGTATGATGAAGGCTTATTCAAATTTTTACAACCGATTACGCCCCATTTCCTTATCAATGCTTACTCTATTAAGAGTTCCTAAAAAATAAATCCCCTGTCGACGATAAGGAAAATCTACTTACCTAAACTGATCTCTAGAATTGAGCATCTCCTGCTTTATAGACAGTATAACCGGACCCAGGTCTTCATCATTCGTAAAATAGTTCCAATGTTCACTTCCGTAGAAGTATTTTTCATAAGTTTCCTGTTCCACAGAGGTAAGCTCAAAGCCACCGGATCGTTCCCATTGCTCTTCGATTGCGGTTTTCTTCTTAGGTGTACTGCCGCCGTTGTCACTGCTGTCTTCTGCTGCTTCGTCCAAAGATCCAGATCGGTGGCGATCTGTGAACATAGGATAAGGAAATTTTTTTATTTAACATTAAAGAATTGGTAACTAACTGCAGGTCCAGCAGTTTAGGCGTCCTGCATAGGGAATTCAAACCAACGCCTTGGCTCAACGGTTTGTACTGTGGGCATTGGATGAGGATCTCCCGGGTTCAATTTCTGGTTTCAATTTGGGAAATGAACTTTTGTAAATTCGTTCCCCTAAGGGATTTTTTAAAATCATATAAAATGTTGGGCTTGGTGGTAAGTGACATTCAGAGTTTTAAATCGCACAGATCTGAGGGAGTGTCATGCTTAATTTCGACAAACACTATTTCGACTCGACAGTACTTCGACTACACATTAATTCGACGGCACACTACTTCGACAAAACATGTTCGATAGGTCACTTGTCCGACCTTTGCGACAGAAATCGACAAATACTTGCTTTAACTAGTTGTTAATTATTACTCGGACATAATTATGTATATGAGATATTCAGCTCAAGAATGAAGTGGTCCCTAAGTAGTCTCTCAGTACAGCAAATATTTATATTAAATATTTCATGTTCTGTTGGAATAGTGACCTGTCGAATACATGTGTTGTCGAAGTAGTTTTCTGTCGGTATAGTGACCTATCGAATGTTCGTGTTGACGAAGCAGTATTCTGTCGGACTAGTAACTTATAGAACATGTGTTTTGTCGAAGCAGTGTTCCGTCGTATTAACGTGTAGTTGAAGTATTCTCGAGTCAAATCAGTGTTTGTCGAAATTAAGCATGGTTCTCTTCTGAGGGTCACTGCCACTGCGTCCCCTGAGATAAAAAGTTGACAAGTCTCATATTCCTGTAGTTTCGTCATCTGTCGCTCTGGTACTCATAGTACGAGGAATTCTCTTGTTTGAGACCAGGTAATTGGTGTGGTTGTCTTTATTAATCTTACATTTATTCTAGCCATATATCGAATGATAATAATCTTCGTATGTTTTGTTTCTTCAATAAATCATTAATGCTAGGATATCGATCATATATACTTTATTTGAGACTAAGAAACACAAATTTAATATTAAGGTATGTTCCATCATAGCCTGTGATATGGGAGAAAATTAGATATTCCCTTACTTATGACATGAAATGTTCAACTGGAGGAAGACTCCAATTCAATCTCAGTTTTCAGTTATAAAAAATTAGAAAATGTAAGGAATGAGTCTTGAAAACTGTTTCTACCTTATTAAATTAATTTTGCGTTTATTCCCAGTAGTTCCATGTACTCAGCTCTGCGTGGTACAATTGTAACCTTTTGAATATTTAAATGGCGAACACTGTTTTGTTCCATGTTTTCTTATGCCAAGTTTAAACAAACTAGTGCAGCGGTTCTCGGTGGCGGCCGTGTTCCGTCATTCACTAATAAAGTTAGGAATATTAGACGACGGTGTTCTTGGAACGAGAACACACGCAGCTTCTGCTATATTTAAAGTGAGATTAGCGTTTAGCGTACACTTTTAAGCATTTTTTCGCTTTCTAGTATGAATGCAGTTGCAAAGATACTAGTAAACAAGGATAAAAAGAACAAAGTTTTCATCATCGTTGAAATATATTATTAATGATTGGCTTATTAGTTTATGTATTTCAGTAATATTATTATACTTTAAAATGAAACTAATGTTTTCGGATTTAAATCGCACATGTTTGTTTTTCAAACAAACATGTGCTTGTTTTTCAATCGTTTTGGGTCTTTTACAGGTACACCACCGGGCCTAGTTTCATTTCTAATGTGTAACAATTGGGAAAATTTGTGAACTCAATATTACACACATTATTTATTATTATTATTTATTATATTATTTTAATTCAAATTGATGTTTGAATAATAGATTTTTTATGATACCAAGTGACGGGACGCATAAGTCGTGCACCTGGTGGTAAGCGACACGCCTCTCCATGGCAGTTGCAGTGCCACTCAAAGCTTTAAAATCACAAATATCTGAAGGTCACTGCCACTGCGCCCGGCACCCTGAGACATAAGTTGAGTTAAGTCCCATGTGCCAGTAATTTCACCAGCATTCTTATCCTTCAGAACTGGAACGCTGTAATGGTCACATTATCGCTTGGCGACAGAAATAGGTAAGACGAACACTTTCACAAGTTGCCTCTACTGCTACTAAAATAAGACTCTACTGCTACTAGAAATGAGATGTTATAAACAACATTCGTTGCCGTATCGCTGCGGGCGACGTCTCAGTCTTATGAATGAAAATTAAAATAATTTAAATGAAAATGGACGGAATCAACAATTTGCAATAATTGCAATCTTCGACATCCGAACGGTCCTACGATGAGAAGTGGTGAGGTCAGCCGAATACCTGAGGTTTAAGGTTCTTACGTTAATGGAGACTAATGACAATGATAATTTGGGGTTGAAATTCTGTGTTGTTGTTTTCATTTCCAATTTAAGCCAGTGTAACAAAATGGTAATATATTATGTCTTCAATACGGATCTACTTAAGATAACAAAAAACATTAGCGAAAAATACACAGTTTCCTTAACCAAATACGTGCGTTAAATAAATCTGAACCTCTTAAAGAAAATTAACATTTTTTGCAAAAGTTTTTGTTTGGTGAAATTACAGGCACATGGGACTTGTCAACTAATGACTAAGGATGACGAGCACAGTGGCGGTGCCCCTAAGATCTTTGCGATTTAAAGCTCTGAGTGGCACTGCAAGTGTTACGACCAGGCGTGTCGCTTACCAACAGGCTTACGATTTTCGTCCCGTCACTTGATATTATAAAAAAAGTTCTTTGTTATCATGAGTATACTATCGACCCTTGAAATACGATCACAACGGTGTTGTACAACGTTATATTGAGCATTCCTTTAGTCTTCTTTAAAGCTCCAATATAGTACAATGTATTTTAATATCATAGGAACGAGCCGCAAATTGTTAAACAATACACGTTGTGTTAAGCCTTTTCTGCCAAGGCTTAAGAAGAATTCTCGCGCGCTACCACAATCCCCATTTCTGATGTATCATGGCGGATACAATGGAATGATAAAGGTGCGTGTGATTTTAGCATTGACTTATCTACCCTTACCTACCTACATACAAACAAGCGTAAGCATCTATTGCGAATATTATGTTCGATCTGCCAAACAGGAGCGGGTTGCCTTACTTGGCCTTATTATCAGTGATCGAAATAGGTAGAGTTTTTTTACCTAAACTTCGAGGACCACAGACAGAAAATGGAGACTGCCTTACGACAACATTTTTTAGGTCCCGGATCTTTTCGGGATTCGGGAGATCATTTAAGTACCTTAAGAATTAACGTTATTTGGGATAGGCAGGTAGACTATATTTATCTTAGCTTTGCTACGATTTGTTGCAACACCAATTTTTCGAAATATTTAGGAAAAAAGTCAATTTTTGATGTACTTAAGAGATTTCCCCAATCCCGAAAAGATCCAGGACCTAAAAAATATTGTCGTAAGGCAGTCGCCACTTTCTGTCTCTGTTCGTCGAAAAAACTACCTATTCCGATCACTGCTTATTACACTATGTTAATACTGACATTTAAAAGCCTTGGTGACTACAAAGTGCCCAGCGTCTCAAGCAGAGGCGTTGGGTTCGAATCCGGGCTCGCACCTCTGAGTTTCTGGGAATGTTTGGCGTGTTGTCTGTGCTATTTGCGACGGACATATCGTTATTTTATCAAATAATAATATTTAATATGTTTTCAATGTTTATGTTTTGTTTTGTTAATTGTAAAGTGAAATGTGTAATAATCAATAAAATAAATAAATTTAATAATTACCACTATTTTTTCGGTGAAGGACAATATTGATGAAACTTGCATATCGAAGAAGGGTCACAACCCTCAGAAAACATGTGAAGTTCCCAACCCATATTGGGCCAGCGTATGTGGACTGTGGCTTAGACCCTCGCCAGAGAAGAGACCTACATGTGGGACGTAGAAATGGGTTGATGATTATGATGATGATAATAATGACTATTAATACTGACTAATACTGACTATTGATAATACTGAATATGTAACCTTACGTTTTAATTTAAAACCTTTTTAAGAACAAACTATATCAGACGAGAGTCATTGTGTTCACAGTTATGACAAAGTCATAATACCCAGTAATGTCAGCATTACTGTGTTCCGGTTTTTAAGGGAAAAGGTGCTGGACAACTTATGTCTCAGGGTGACGGGCGCAGTGGCAGTGCCTCTCATATCTTTGTGATTTAAGCTCTGAGTGGCACTGTAACTATTACGGATAGGCGTCTAGCTTACCATCAGGCGCACGTCTTGTTCGTCCCGTCGTTTGATATTATATAAAAAAATACGTTGCATGGCCACTCAGAGCTTTAAATCGCAAAGATCGAGGGGCACTGCCACTGCGCCTGTTACCCTGAGACATAAGTTGACAAGTTCCATGTGCCTGTAATTTCACCAGTAAATTTTTAATTTCTTTTACAATTAAAAAATAATATTTGTAAAGGTTTATGTCTAGTATTATATTACATAGAAAATTTTATTGAACACGGTGTTTTGGTTTAATTATTCAATGTATAAAATGCATAAAGTCATAACACAGTCCCAAAAAACTGTACACCTGCTATTTGCATATATTATAATCTGATATACAATGAGTATTCACTCTTATATATGACAACTAGGTGTACATAATTATGTAGATTCCTTTTACTCAAAAAGGGAAAAGATAATTTGAACTGTATATTTTCAATTTACCTTTTTTGGTTTTATGTGTAACAACATCTGGTGTGCTGTTTTTTATTGAGTACATAATACATTTTTCTTTACAGTCCTATCTAGATCCCTTGAAAGTGCAAATTAATTCAGGTTTGGTCGATTTCTTTGATTTTCGCGATTGCTATGCTTACTATGCTATACGCATTAGGAATGGAAAAAAAATCCTCGATCTAAATCGCGTACATTTATTTTTCAAACAAACCAATGTATCGGGGTCGTAATGATCACTACTGACGTATACAT